GTTCCACGGTCAACTGTTAGTGGTATTATAAAAAAGTGGAAGCAATTAGGAACAACAGCAACTGAACCACGAAGTGACTGATGTAAAATCACACAACGCATGCTGAGGCGCACAGTGTGCAGAAATCGGCAACTGTCTGCAAAGGCAATAGCTACACACTTCCAAACTTTGTGTGGCCTTCAGATTAGCTCATGAACAGTGCGTAGAGACCTTCATGGAATGGGTTTCAATGGCCATGCAGCTGCATCCAAGCCTTACCTCACCAGGTGCAATGCAGTGTCAGATACAGTGTTGTAAAGCACACTGCCACTGGACTCTGGAGCGAGTGATGAATCACGCTTCTATGTCTGGCAATCCGATAGGCGAGTCTAACTGCGTTGTGCCAAGTGTAAAGTTTGTTGGAGGGGGATTATGATGTGGGGTTGTTTTTCAGGGGTTGGGCTTGTACAGTGAAAGGAACAGTGTACAGTGAAAGGAACTTTTAATTCTGCAGCATTCTAAGCAATTTTGGACAATTTCATATTCCCAACTTTGTGGGAACAGTTTGGGGATGGCCCCTTCCTGTTCCAACATGACTGCACACCAGTACACAAAGCAAGGTCCATACGGACATGGATGAGCGAGTCTGGTGTGGAGGAACTTGACTTGCCTGCACAGAGCCCCGACCTCAACCCAACAGAACGCCTTTAGGATGAATTAGAGCGGAGACTGTGGCCAGGCCTTCTCGTCCAACATCAGTGCCTGACCTCACAAATGCTCTCCTGGAAGAATGGTCAAAAATTTCCATAAACAGACCTTGTAGACAGCCTACCCAGAAGAGTTGAAGCTGTTATACTTGCAAAGGGTGGGCCAACTCCATATTAAAGCCTATGTATGAATGGGATGTCATTAACGTTCATGTGTGTAAAGGCAGGTGTCCAGATACTTTTGACAATATAGTGTATAACGTAGGCGATTGCCCCCCCATCCCCCAAAAAAACAATTAAGTCTTGTTCATGAAATGTACTTTCTTTACCTGAAATTAACATATGCTAAATACATAACTCACGTTAATTATCAGACATCCCACCCCTCTTGGAAATTCTGAGAGTCTCCTGCACATTGACAACAGCTCCTTGACACCCACGAAAGATGCTCAACGTTGCGGAAATCTGTAGTTCCACTAGTCAGCAGCGGTAAATTTAGCCACCGAGTAGTACCGCCACAACCCCCACCCCACCCTGTAGGCAAATTTTACCACCATCACCCCTCCCCTAGTCGACAAATTTTAGCCTACTGTCGGCACCATAACTTCCACTCCGCCTAGATTTTTAATACCATTATACAGTCCAGACATCATACTACAGTGTACTGTATTTTCATGGTATTTTAAAATGCAAAGCTATTCCTATATTCACCTGTAAAATTTGCCTAGCCAGCACCACCGGGTTGTTGCTCATTTGCCTCCCTGAAGTCAATATGCTTGTGGTGGGTAGTTTGGAGTAACCGATCTCGGTCTGTCAAACTGAAAAGGTGGATAATAACTGTTAATTTCACTGCATTTGATAAAATATACGTTTTCATTACTGCTTGAAACGTTTGGATAGTAGGTTGACTTGCCTGTGCCATACTGTGGATGGCAATTTCATTCCCTGCAGGGTATGCTTCACATCACAGCAAAAGTTATGATGAAAATCAGGCAACAGGTTCCTCATTTTGTGCCAGTAGACAAACTGCTTGCAAAGTTGATCCACTCTGAGATAAGAGTCTGAAAAGTCAGTGTGAATTTAGCAGGGTTACCAACTTTGGCGTGAGATTTTCAGTTTGCGACAAGTCTATACACACATGCACACACATTTACATGTATGTAACAGTTTTATAACCTTGCAAATAGTGCTAACTACCCCGATGGTCTTTATATAGCTATTTTTAGGTTTATGATGGAATAATATAGATTTACCATAAGATTTCTTGTGTGACAGTCTGAAAATGTGTCACGCCAGATGCGTGAGAGTTGACACCCCTCCTTAGCACCCCTTTTGAGTGCTCTATATATTTATACATTCTTGATAATTAGAGTGAACATGCAAGTTCACATTAATAATTAGCTGACATTTGGGGGGTTAGTTGCCTGTATAAAAAGATTTTGCTGCATTACCTCAAAAATACCAAACTACATTCACAAGAAGTTTACAACACATCAATATATCGTTTCCAATGTATGGCCAGGGGTGTCAGATTCTAGGCCCCATGAAAGCATATTATATCGGGCCCCCAACCCAGAATAATCATATTATGTTCCAAATTTTTTAGGGCCCATGTCGCTTAGGAACCCTACCCATTGGAGCCCGCTGTGTCTCCAGAACCCTGCTCAGGGGAGCCCGCTGCGTCCCCAGAACCCTAGCCATTGAAGCCCGCTGTGTCTCCAGAACCCTACCCATTGAAGCCCGCTGTATCTCCAGAACCCTGCTCAGGGGAGCCCGCTGTGTCTCCAGAACCCTGCTCAGGGGAACCCACCATAACAGGGAAACACACCAGGGCTGAAGGTTACAAGACAGGGAGGAGGGAAGCAGGATGTCCAGTGTCACCTGACACTCTCCAAGATCTCTCTTTTACTCCAAACCCAGACTTCTGGACCAACACCTGTAAAAACACATTTCAAATAAGTACTAATACGAATATTCAGCTTATACAATACAAGGTCATTCACATGGTTCACCTAACCAGTAATAAGCTGTTCAGAATGTGACTGATACAGTCTGGTATATGCTCACAATGCCCTCTTAAGGCACAGGACACCTACTTACCTGCCTTCTGGCTTTCTGTACCCATGAATCTTTTTTTGGGACGAAATCATTAACTCATTACCACTTTTCCTGGGCTGCCTCATCCCTCTGTCACCGGTACTCTGTCTGCTAGGGGACACAACAGGATTCAGTCTAATAAAGAATCCACCAGACTTCCTCTCTTAGCTTTGGCTGTCACTAAAAAAATCATTCTTCTGAACTCGAAGACAAAAAAGTAAACGTCCTACATTGGAAAAACCTCCTACTTGATTTTCTCAGCTTGGAAAGTTTTCCCACCTCAAATAAAACCAAATCCCCAGTGTATAACTGCACCTGGGCCCCTCTTTTATATATACAATCTCATATTATTCAGTCTGATTCTGCCTGGTTTATATTATTAATATTATATATTTATTTATATAATTTATTTATTATTTATATTATATATTTAGATTATATCACTGAAAAGATAGATTTAGTTACATTACTCATTTATCCCCGACCCCACATGGTCCCCACAATGTAATATGTGTATGACCACATACTATATGTGTTTCCTTCTCTTATTCTGGCTCCTTTTATACACGTCTTGTGTCATTTGTACCTCAACCCCAGATTTGATTCTTGGTACATCTGTATACGTGTTTGTGTCTCCATTGTTTTGTAAATCACTTTGGTGTGTTAATAGAGAAAAAAATCACAAAAGAAGTAAAATTAAAGAATTAAAAACAGACAATAACACAACGAGCAGAGCTTGCAGTGGCAATCCCGAGAATTTCGAATAGCACTTGACTGGCATCATTGGAAAGCATAACGCATCGCGCACGATCCCTCGGGAAAACAATGGCTGTGAGTCGCCCAGGGTACAATTTTAATCATTCCGCAACTGAGCCGTCGGGAGGGTGAAGCCATTTTGTGCTGAAGCTTTAAAATAACGGCAGGGAGAAATCGAGACAGACACTGGCGCTTCCTTCCTGTGCTTACAGGCCCTATCGCGTTTCCTTCATCTCTCACCAGTAATGAAAATCCAGCAGCCTTTGCAAAAGCGCCCTTTAAGGCTGCTGTAACTTACCATCTGCCCATGCTATAATAGTTATCTGAGCATTGGCCAAAAGTGTTTAAACTCAACATTTAGCTTATGTGTCGCTGTCTTTTTTGCAGTTGTATTAACCACTCAGATCCACACTCTTAATGCAGTCTATAGCACGAAGCCCATCGACCCTTTCCTTTGGACTCCCAGACGTAACAGCAGCCATGAGGAGAGGGAGGCTGGACGCTTGCCAGATGGCTCTTTATCACTCCTTTTATGCGAACCTTAAGTGCCAGCGGTGAAGCCATTATTCCATGTCCTGCTTTCCGTAAACCAGTCACCCCCAAAAGTGTAATTATGTAGATATAAATAATAACCTAAGAACAGGGAAGCAGTTTGTTTGTAGCCTATATTTATTTATTTTTAAAAAGCTTTAAGATGCAGGAAAGATGACAACATCTTTGCGGGTTTTCACCATATGAGTTGTTCGTCGATTTCATTGCTAAATACGGTTATTTATCAGCGATAAAGTGTAAAAAATAGATGCAGTCGCGTGCAATGCAGGCTAGCTATAAGTGGTAGCAGTACTGATGGTTTAAAAATGACACAGTAGAGGATCACGAATGAAACATATATAAAAATCTGACGAATTCAAACTAATAAATGGTTTATTTTGGGGAATGGGGAGCACGTACCATTGTGCCGACACCTAATGTAATGAACAACTGCTAATCTGTCAACAAATCCTGCTGCTTCAACCGCATTCTACGAGTAGCGCAAGCTCACAATATACATTAGTCTAAAATCCTTCAATGGAAATACCTGATTTTCATTTACTGTACTCTCCGAATGTATAAACCCAATTTATTCTTTGGTAAATAGTTCTTTCACATTTTGTTACTCACACACAGATTTATTTTATGTTACGTGGTCTACAGATAAATTCTGTAGCCTGTTTAGATTCGGGTCAAAGTCTTCCAGTACAGATCTAGGGATTTATCACTTTCTGATTTTTTTTTTCAAAACCAATGTGTAAATTTACTATTTGCCTTTGTTAGTTTGTTTCGGTTTCTAACAAATGATTCATGACCGCAAGCATTTCCCTCACAAGCTGCAAATACTATTTTTACAGCTTCCCCTATTTTTTCTTTCCATGTAATTGGCTAGTTACTAATCTGTATGTTACCCAGAGGATTAACACAATGCGAGTACTCAAAACTGGGTTTAAGTTGGGTGTGCTACCAAATGACAGCCTAGTAGTGGCATCAGCTTCCAGGCGGTGAGTTAGAAGCTTGTTTGAAAAATCTTCCCACACGCGAGTCGGTGCCGATTCCGCCCGGATAGCGTGTGTTCGACGCGTAATAAAAGGGAACCAACGCTTCGCAATGCCGGGCACCAGCCAACCAAAAGTCGGCGTCGCTGTGGCAGGAAGCGAGATCGAGGCGAGGGAGCTGGGGGAGGGGGTCGGGGTGCTGAGGAGCAGAGCAGCCTGTCAGCCACACAGCAAGACCTCTGCGAGCCGAAGCGATATCGCTGCGCCGGTCTGCACGCCCGTGCCGCCACACAATAGTGGGAGCGACGTGAACGCGGGTTTTCGTATTTCGCTCAACCAGGAGCGGCGATTTTATTGTATCTTTCACCTCTGTGGTGTATTTATTCATAACCGATTTTAGGTCTTGATATTTTGCCGAGTAGCTTATATTTTTTGTTAATTGTAGAGACGGGATGGAGTTCTGGAGACAGTGCGCCTTGTGGCTCATTGACTGCAAGGTGCTGCCGCCGAACCACCGGGTTACATGGGAGACAGCGCAGGTTTTCGACCTAGCTCAGACGCTCCGCGATGGAGTCCTGCTGTGCCAACTCCTCAACAACCTGAAAGCCCAGTCCATCAACCTGAAGGAAATCAATCTGAGACCGCAGATGTCACAGGTAAGGACCTTCCTTACTGTGCCAGACGGCAGCTGTAAAATGATCAGATGGACTACACCACCAACTCACCGTTATAACCCTAGGGGCTTTATAATATAAGCTTATTTATCCCAATATATTAGGCCTACATATAGGAAAATATAATTATTTCTCATACAGAAAAGTACCGTTATCTGAGGTCAAGCAAACCCTTCCCTCCGTAGGTACTGGCAAAGCATGTCACCTTTCTCCGCGTTATAAGTACAATTAGAGTGTATTAGAGTGTATTATCGTCATACCATAATATGTTCTCTATGGCCAGCCATGCGTAATGCAATTACACCACAACCCTACTCTGTACTTTGTTTTACCTTAGTCTGTATATACTTTCTTACTATATAAAATTGCTTTCGGTCAACGCTTGTTTTGAAACGTTACAGATTTGTTTAAAAAGCAGTGCAGCCATATATTGTATCCATTTATTACATATATTGTAAGCCCTATATTTAAATATATCGTAATAATGTATCTGCATGTCATGGCCGTGTTCTCAGTTTTAAACTACATAGGCCTATGAAGATCCCAATAATGTAAATAATTGCAACTGACAAAACATTACTGTGGAAGCTTTGTTAAATTTAATATGCACATTCATAATCAAGCAGTACTTTTTAAATTTTGAAGGAAAACGCCATGCAGGGATTAAATTACCGCAATAGCTTTGCACACACAACACATTCGGCTGTATAAAGAGTCAAAAGTTCTATGGAACGTTTCCTGTAGGGCCTGATGCAAGATATCAGGAGTGATCTGGGCAGCTGTAGTGGTTTAGCCGAGCACACGAACACGGACCACCCCGAGTTTTATATTAGACTCTACGGTACGTGGTAATTTTCTGTAAAACACAAACGGACACAGCGCACGGAAGCCGAATTTTGCGTGACAGACCATTGACATCCTTTAACAAACGTCTGGTTCGTTTTGAAATGTATAAAAAAGAAAAATATCTTTTATGTAAATGCGGTTTCTTTAAGTGTGACACACTGCATATTTACTATTCTGACACGTAAATCAATGTTTTCAACATTTTCTGCTTCTGTGTACTAATCCATTGGTCAAATTGTTGTTTGTCTATGCGAGTTGATTTACGGGATGCTTCATTTCCAAAAGAGACGCACTTATTTTATATGAACTAATGAGAAGCCAAAAAACACCATAAAATATAATTTTATAAATATAAAATTAAATATACCTTTGAGAATTTAGCTGTTAAAATAAAACATTACATTTTTAGCCTGCTTGTTTTCAATGTTGTGTAATAGTTACATTTAGTTGCCTAATTATACAATAAATGAAACGTTTTTAAAATAAATTACCATCATTATTATTTGAAATTATAGTTTCAGATGACGTATTCTTGAGTTATAGTGTATATTGTATGTAGTACATAGGGCATATACTATATTAGATAATGTTATTAGGTATATTACTGTCATGTTCATAAAATAAATAAATAAATGTCAGGAAGTGAAATTGTAATTTTATAATGAATTATTATCGATTAATATCCGATATATTTTTGTACGGGCCCTACAGAAGCTTTGCCCTCCAGTAACAACAAAAATGACAAAAAGCTTTAGAGATACAAAACAACTATGCTGTCAGGCATCACATACTGGACTAGTGAGGGGCATTAGCTTCCTCGCTACACTGGCTGAGCCGTGGACGAAGGCATGGAGAGTGTCTCTGAGAAGCAGGAGGATTCATCTGCTGTCTCGCTCAACCAATGCAAACAAAGTTTGTCTTCCAAGATGTGCGACGTGAAATGGAAAAGGAGGCCATCTGCGAGTGCAGAGTAGGGAGGCATCTCTTTGGGGTCTCTCGAGGTTCCGTGAGGCTCTCACTCAAGCTGATAAGTCTCCTATCGCGTGTGCCAATGCATGAACAGGGATCCTGGATCCTTACCAGTGCCTTCCAGCTGACAGTGGTTTTTACTGCTCTCGCCTGCTCCTATCAGATCCGCCTCCCAGTGACTTGTGGCACACGCCAGAGGAAAGGGAGGTCCACCAGGGCTTGTAGATTAACTCCTGAAGTCTATAATGGACTCTGGTGTTGTATTCTTGAGAAACTTGCTACTGGACAGTTTAACTGGTGACATCATATCCTGCGGTAAAGTCTGATAGGTAAAGATGGTAATATAGTTGTTAGTGTTGATCACATTCATTCACACTTTTTTGTTTTGTTGTAGAAATCACAAAGAGATAAAGATTTGATATCATGCATTCAGTATTTTGCTTGGCTAACCAGAATATCAGTGATGTTTTTAAGACAAAGTTTAAAATCAGCAGGATTCAGTTGTTCACTTTGGGATTTTAAAACTTACAGAGATGTTGCATCTGTCAGGCCTGCAGAAATTTGTGATCATCTCAGGACAGGCATCATTTGATTTTTGTCTTGCGTTGCCTGTTTAGTTTGTCAGGTCGACTGCCTGTTTAGTTTGTCAGGTCGACTGCCTGTTTAGTTTGTCAGGTCGACTGCCTGTTTAGCTCAGTTACTGCTGTACTTTCCTCCTCATTTAATTGTGGTTTTCTAGGCCCTGCCAGAGTGGATCGTGAGTTTCAGACAGAATCTGGAGAAACCTCTGTCCGTCTACACATTAAGATGAACTTAACACCACACATTGAGATCGAATGTCACATTTATAGACATACTGTAATTATGGCCACTCCGCTGATAGTAATCAAAACTGGTCCTAAGATCTCTCATGCTCTGAACTGGGTAGCAGTTTTGTCAGAATCGATGCATGTCAGACTTCAGACCTCTCTTCACCTGAGAAATGAAAGTGAAACTGAAGGGTGAAATAGCAAAAACATGCTTTCAGTGATGAAAGTGTTCTGCTATGCTGCATCAAAAAATAATGGTGAATACGTTGATGGATTTCCTCCATTGATTGGGGAGAATGACCAGAAACTTCCCAGAATGCCTCACTGCATTACGCACACATTCTTGCATCATCCTGATGAAAAATCGCAACATATTGCTAAAGCAGGCACCATAAAATGGAATAAAAAAAACATTTTCTAACTAAAAATCCCAGAGATGCTTTACATGTGATGTACTGATTTATTGAAAATCATATTTTAATATATGAATTTGATTTAAGTCAAAGTCAATTAGCTAAAATATTTTGGTCTTTTATTTCATTTGAAGATCCCAGGGGAAATTATTGCACCCCCTGTATACCTCAGCAAGTTAAGTTAAGCCGCAGAATGAGGCATAATGACTATGAGCAATTTGATTTTGATAATCTTGATTTTGTTTTAGTTGGTGAGCTTTGAATTAATTTGGCTGCAAATGAAAATTTATTGTACCAACTGATTTGTGCAAAGGATGTAACATCTGAGATTTAGAATTTATTCATGGATTAATATAAGAACCTTGGTAGATAATGTCCTGCTTAGATTATGTTGCATCCAGTGCTTTGAGATGGCTTTGCGGGAAAGAGAAAAGGTGTGTATGTGCGTGTGTGCGTGTGTATGTGCGTGTGTGTGTGTTTTGATGCTCTTGCCTAAGATCTACCCAGGTGTACCGTTTGCTACTTTCTGTATCCTTCTTTTTACCGTTCCTAACCTTAAAATATATGTGTCTCATATACAGCATTGCATGTAGGCTTAAATCACGCCACAGTGTTGCTGTAACTTTAAGGTATGTCATTCTTTTGTCTAATACAACTTATCAAAAAGTTTCAGGGTGATCCGTGATAACAGAGCACCAAGAATAGCAAGAGCGCCCACGCATTTTCTCTGCAAATGAAAATGCAGTGTTATGTTCATTGAGGTTAATCAGTGTTTGGATGACCGTGAAAGTCAGTGAGTTGCTCTCTAGTCACCCCAGTGAAGATGAGTTCGGTCTGGAGGTTGCCGTGGAAGCCCAGACGTAATTAACTGTGCCCTGATAAGACCAGGGAGAGCCTGCCAAGGGCAGAAGGGCGTCCTTCACTACAAACACGCTCTTCTAGTGAAGTGTCCCTGAGCATTTTGAGACTGAAATGAATATTTCCAATGCTGGCAGTCACCTTTGAAAAGATGGAGGACGTGAGTCAACCCGCTCATTGCCCGTCTTCTTTTGTGGTGCTGTGAATGGACTGTGCTCAGATCCATTCAGACTCAAGTGTCTGCAGAATGGAAAATAGTGTTTATTGCTCTCTGGGCCTTTAAACTAACAGACAAGCAGGTGACCAGGCTCTACATTTCTGCCGTGGTCCCCCAACGTTGGAATACTGACAGAGAAGGCTTTGTCGATTTTGAATTACTGAGCAATGTAATGGTTGAGAGGAAAATATGTCATGGATTGTGCTCCGGTCTCCATTTTAAGAATTGTGGCACAACAGCAGTTAGGAAATGGTGATGTGGTGTAATAGGGAATTTATTGACAGTTCACATGTGGTGTATTCCCCTTTATATTCTGTACTTTTGGCTGGGGGGATTCCACTTGGACTATCCCCCTCCATATTCCGTATTTTTGGCTGGGCGGCAATAAATATTGAGGGGGGGGGGGGTTCGAAGTCCTAATTGTACTACCTGTCTACATGACGGATTGGTAGGTGGGGATGGGGTGTTGTTTTAATGCAGAGCTACATGCCTGATGCGTGTGTTCTTGTGCATGCAAACACACATACTGTACAGACACTCACAGATTACGCATCTAAAACTTTGTGGGGACTCTCCATTCATTTCTATGGACATAACCCTAATCCCAACTACAACGACGACCTTAACCCCTAACCAGCCCTAACCTTAACCATAAGTAAGCAAACAAAACACAAGACCTTTGGCATGTTATGTTTTTTTGATTGCAGTAACACATTTTTATAAAATGTGTTACTATAAAACTGAGTTTCCCCTTGTTGTGATCAAAAAAATGTCCCCACGCGGTGAAAATAACAGGTTTTTATCACATTGTGGGGTCGAGGGGCGTCATTAGAGGTTTTTGCCCCCCTAAAATGTATTTTAACTCCTCCA